AAACAGACACATGCAGACACAGACAGACACAGACACACGCACACACAGAGAGACATACAGACAGACATACACAGACAGACACATGCACACAGACACTCATACACAGAGACACACACGTGCACACGCAAACACACGCGCGCACACACACGTGCGTGCGCTTCTGTCTGTACTTATCCATGTTTAACTTGACTTTGAGCATGAAGTTTGAGGATGTCTAACACAATGAAGGGGAATAATTATTAAAACTGACATGAGTCATCATGTGTCCTCTTTTGTATCCTAAGAATACACAGGCTTTACCTTTGAAATCTTTTTAAATCTGAGAACATCAAAGACAGATATTATGTCCTGAGGTCTCAGTAGCTCTCTTACTTTTCCTCTCCATATCCTACCAGTGAGCATCAAAATGTGAACATGATGAATGCATTTATTCTTGTTCTCAATTCATTGCGCCCCACCATTCTCTGGATGTGCACAAATTACCTCCTGTAGACTTAAACTAGTTCCTTGAAACTATTCAGAATTTTCTTCTAGAAACCAGATTGTTCTAAATTTTTCATCACATTTATAATCAGTTTCTTCACCTCTTCCCTCTACCATGTGACCCGTTTTCACTGTTTTTTGACTGTGTATCTGTATCTAGGGAACCATTGCACTGACAACTGACATTTTACTCGTACCGTCACAGCTCAGCGACTCTGTGTAACTAAAGCCAAACCACATCTGCTGCAAGGCAAAGTGACCAAACTCAGAGCCACACGCCAGCTGCCCCCAAGGTGGTGACACTCACTCTGGCCTGTACCCTGAAAGGTTGTACCTAAGTCCCAAGAGCTAATTCAAAGACAACAGAGCACATTTCGTCCTGAAGGCCAAACCCAGCCAATAAGTAGAGATTAAACCAGTAGCAGAATAGAGGGGCCTGGGTATCCTCTGCTGCAACACCCAGCAGTGTGATGGGCATTTGTTCAAAGATATCATGAAAAACTTTGCCATGAAAGAAGAGAACCAAAACCCCAGGCAATAAAGACGTGAGCCCCTGTGTAGCTGAGTATGGGGCTGGGTTTCAATGACCAGTGCTGAACCACTGTCTCAAACCTGTGTGTCGAAACGTCTTAACCTTCATGTAGGAGGTTGGAACCCTCACACAAAGACAGGTCAGAGAGGTGCCTTCTCTTTCAAGTTGGTCTTGAGGAAGCAAGAAGGCAACCAAGCCATTTTACAAAGCGGGGAGTGGGCCCTCACCTGGTTCCCATCCTCTCAAACTAGGAGAGCTCCATTTCTATTGTTTCTGTGACTGTTCTCTGGTTTATAAGTCTGTTATAGCTGCCTGAATAGACTATAAGGCACACACCCCAGAACAAGAGACAGGTTTAGGCCTTTTCCTAAGAGAAGTATCCATTCAAGATAGCCTCTTTAGCTTGCTTCTCAATAGTTGTTACCAGAGTATTGATGTTAAGCAGTTCTGTAATACTCAGAAGTAATTTCTCACCAACTTCTGTGGCCACCATGCTCATGAGAGGTATCACAGCTATCATGGTTACAGAGTCACACAATCAGCAGCCAAGCTTAGCTAAAATCTGTGTATAAACTTGTGTATAAACTTGGTTAACTTGGTAGCCCTGACCCTCAAGCCTTTTAAAATATGGTTAGTAGTAGGGAGGGTCAGTTATGTATTCCTATACCCCAGAATGGCATTTAGACTTTGCCTTTTTATAATTTTATAATTTTCTCTGATATCAAGCAAACATTTAGTGAAAATAAAGCTGGCTCCTCACAAGACAGAAGGGACAGGGACATCTTTCTACCTACTAGATCTCTAGTTTTATTCATGGGAACAGAACCCCACCCAAAGCCTCATATCTTCATAATATGCCTGACGCCCACACTCAGACATAGCACCCCCCTCTGAGTGTGCAGAGAACACAGCACCATTACACTAGTGGGTTGCTTTGTTCCTTTTTGAAGTAGAACAGAATTTAAAGGCTTGTAGGTGTTCAGAAAATAGCCTGATTACAGATCCCATAGCACTAGCTTGTGAAATAGAGGACTCTGAAGACACCTTCCCAGAGTCCCACTCGGCCTCTCCAAAGATAAGAGAACATTAGTAATGAAAATAATGTGTTTCGACATAACTATGAGATGTGCAGTGCAGACTTTGGGGCATAGAAGACCTGGTTTGAATTTCCAGTCTGTACTTCTGAAGGTATTGGTTAAGTCACATCATCTACTAATCCCACTTCCTCGTCTAGGATGCTGCTCCTGGAGGTCTGTGAAAGTTAATGACACCCTGTTTGGAAATGTGCGAGATAGAACATTTGTACTCTATAAAAGATAGCTGCTAAGCATCCGTAATCTTGTGGTTTGCTTTTTGAGTTTTATGTCACTTTTTCACTTTATGCTTTGCTATTTTGAGACTTGTCTAAGGTCTGGGAAGATAGTTGCCTCAGTAATGGAATGCTCATTTTCTACATGTATGACCCTTGGCCTATAGTCAATTAGACAGTAACACACACACTATAATTTGATATCTAATATAATAAAGTATACAATTCTTAATAATAACCTATAAAGATCTTACACAGATTGGTAATAGTAGATCCAGTTTTAGTGGTTTCGCACTAGAGAAACTGAGGCAGCTGGCTGGTAAGTTTGAAGCTGACTTGAGTCCACATAATGAATTCCCAACTGGAGTGGGCTTTGGAATAAGGCTTTGACTCAAAAATAAACAAAAAGATAGAAAGGGAAAGAAAAAATAATTGTCTATGCCATTCACTGAACAGGAGTTGAGAAAGATTTATTTGTGTACTATGGTTGTAAACAACAAAAATATTTAATAAGTGTGTTTCAGTTAGGGAATGGTATTAAGATAAGACTTATGGGGAAACCTAGAGATGTCCCCACCCTCAAAGGACTGTTTGGTTTACTTGGGAAAATACCAGAAGTGTCCCAAAGGGAGCTTATTTTGTTGCAAATGAAATGGTTGCTGCAGATAAGAAAGGCTTAGCATTCAGAGAGGACAGGTTGCCTCTGAAGCCCAGGGCTAAGATTTTTGAGCTTGTAATGGTTAGCAGTAATACCATGAGAAAGGAAAGGGGTGTAATTAAGAAAAGAAACCCAGCGTGCTACAGCATCCAGGACTAGAGAAGCCCACACTGAGGACATCCACATACCTTCAGTGGAAGACTCAGACCAAGATGGGCTCCACCCTATGGCAGGTTAAACTGAACTTTAAAACCTGGGCCTGTAGACTATGGTAGCTTAGTTGTTACAATGGCAGCAAACAGGATACATGGTTATGGAAGTCAGACTCCTCAAGAGTCCCAGTTGCAGGAGAAACACATGGCAAGCCATCCTTGACCAGAGAGGGACAGTCATACTTCTTTCTCACACCAGTAAAGAATCTTTGGCTTTTTGCTGGAACAGTGATAATGGCAATGATTGGAATGTAACATCAGGAAATGCCTGGTTTTAAAATGTGTCTTTATTCTTCTAGGCCTCTTTTTCGTGGAAGTTCAGATGTGGATCAACTAGGAAAAATCTTGGAGTAAGTAATAATTATAGTCTTACATCACATGAATGTCCGCAGTGACTGTCCTCTGATGTTCTTGTTTCTCTCTTATCTTCTTTCTTGCCTCAAGCTGAAGCTGCAGACAGTCTTACTAGTTGGTATGGTGAGTTGGGACGAGGAAGAGGAGAACCTCACTTAGGGGCGGTCATGATGTGTAACCTTGCTGCTGTGCTCTGAATGCTTGTACGCTGCCTGGGTGGCTTTTTGCTGCTTCTCCATGCTTGGCTGAGCTCTGAGTGCCATCTCCATAGTGCAGATTGTTGTCTGCGTGTGGTCACATCCAATTTACCTCTCCTGTGAGATGGGACACTGGTGGCTTAGGGTCTCTGCCTGTCCATATAGGAATCCTATTCCCATTGAAAGGCCTTGATCATTCTTGTTGGTTTGGCATTCCCAAGCCAAGGACAAAAATGCTACCCAGTCACATTTTCCCTCAGAACAACAAACTAGGGAATGAGAGCCTGGGTTCTCATCTGTGAACCAATGTAAGTGAGAAGTTGCATGAAGCACCCTTCAGTGGGTTTACTGCCCCATGCCTAGCTGGTAATTAATGACTTAACCCTGTTTTCTTTAACTTTTTAACCTGAGAAATAGAATCGACTTTAGGTTCTCTGTTCAGTCTGTTTTCCAACTCGCTTGTTGCTTCCGATTGTTTGTCCCATCGCTCTGTGATGATTTGCGAACTTCATTCGTGCCTGCGTTTGTGCATGTGAGGATGGGCATGCTTTCATGTCACTGGAATGTAACCGGGGTGTGCTGCGTAGCATCCTTTTTGGATATGTGCTTTTGCTGAGCCCCACTCCAAATGAAGTAGAATGGAAAGTGCATAGGAGTCCTGGCTACAAGTCACCACCCTTGTTTTGGTTGGTAATGGTTTTATGAATCTCAATCTCAAGTGATTTTTTTAATGGAATTTTAAGTCTATAAGACTCACTACCCCGCAAAACTAAAACAAACAAATAAACAAACAAAAAGGATTATTTACTTAAGCATGATTGCTTCACACCTGGAAGTCACCCCAAGCTAATGACTCAGTTCTTTTGGGAACCGGAAGCTCTTCCTGCTTTGAAGCTGAAAGAACATTTGCTGGCTTTGATTTGTGTGTTGGGGAGGCAGTTTACTTTGTTGTTGTTGGTCTGGTATGGTCTGGTCTGGTCTAGGGACTTCCCTGGTACTGACAATCCTATAGAACGGACACATTCTCAGCCACTCCTTTTTGTTATACTACTTTTGTGTGGCAAACTCCTGTCATTCGCTGGTGGATTTGTATCTCCCCTGAGACTGTAGAGTGTTTTCTGTGTGCATGTGATCTTCAAGGATGGACCCAGGCAAGTAAACTTTCTAGTTTTCCCCTGTTGAAGGACAATCTTGGTGATATCTCCTGCCCTCACGTACTTACTCTTCCTGGGAGTCCCGGCCACCCCCAGCACAGTCTGCAGACCATGGAGCCAGTGCAGTGGGTCCCATGGGAAAGCCCATTCGACTTCTGGCCAAGGCCTGGCACTCCCACATGGCTAACAGAAGAGCAGCCACAAAGCCTTGCATGTTTTATGCCTTTAGATTATACTTGTTGGTTTCTGGCTTTGCCTCATTAGTCTGAACAGTGCTCTCCACAGGAGAGGGGCAATGCTGCACCCTAGTGTCACGTTGTTTTTACCTCACCCACCACAGCCATTTCTAGACTCTGTGCCCTGTCAGTTTTTCCAGTGTGAATGTCAGCTTTCACAGCTTCTGTTTAGCTGTCCAAATAGTGAAATAGGATGTGACCCTTTCTATTGAGCTTCTCACAATTTCATTATGCTCATTTTGGGCCATGACAGTCCTTATTGGACACAATGCTGATTTTTTTTTAAAAGAAAAATCATATTCTCATGCTCTCAAATTTCTATTTTCAGAGAGCATCAAGTGCTTTAGAAGTAAAACAGTGGTGTTAGGCCAAACATTTAGAGCGTTTTCTAAGAGCCAGAGCATAGTTAAATAGAAAAAATATGGAATATGGAGTAAGGAGACCTGACCTTGGCAGGCATTCTCATTCCTCACCCTTCTTCTCTTCTCGACAGTGAGAGGATCCACCTGACTTGTGTGTCTCATGGGCTTTTACAGGAGTCAGAGAAGACAGTAGGGTGGACTTTGTTTTATTTTTATATGTGTATACATTTATGTATGTATATGTCTCCATGCCTTATGTGGAGTTAATATGCACTTACGTATTATGCAGATAACATAGTGTTTCTCTGAAATTTTTTGGCTTCTGACTGCTGCATTCATAAGATTTCAAATCTATGTTTGAAACTGCTAATAATACTCAGGAGACTGAGACCAGAGGGTTGTGAGTTTGAGCCCAGCCTGGGCTGCACGGTGAAACACTATCTTTAAAAAATGCTTCCAGTAAAATAATTTAAATTCCAAGCATCTTTATAATCCATTTATAGGCATATGATGAGAAAGATGTACAAAGTCCTGATGTAAAACGGCTGGGAAGGGACAGAAGTTTCAACTGTGTGTAATAAGTTTTCCTTTCCTCTGTGACCATTCTATTCAAACATGTCCTTTTGTTGGCTTTCGTGGGTGTACTGATGTTCTCACCCCATCCTTCCTCACATTGTGGTTCTTTCTTACTATTGAACATAGTTGTGTGCTGCTCAAGCCGTAATTTGCTCATTGGTTCCAGTATATCCATGAGTCTGCCTTTATGTGGCTGTCTGTTGATGCCAGAGGGAAGGAACAGAGTTAGTATCTTGCTCCATACCTCGTGACATGTGCACTGGTGATGGGGAATGTGTCCTCCCCTGGGAGGACTGTGACCTGAGAAGGGAATAGTGACAAAGCCCTGTAGATCCTGTGACATTTACAAAACCTGGTTCTGTGCCACAGAAGGGACAGAGCAGAGCTTTAATGTGGGTCAGCACCATTTCTAACTAGGGTTAAAATAGTTTGGATCAGGGTCTGCAGCTATATAATCTGTCTACTAATTTATGTTTTTGAATTTTAGTTCAGAGTTACTCAGTCTGTGTACTCTCCAAATAACACTTACTACCTATACGTAAACTAGAAATAATACTACATAAGTATAAATTGTATGGGGCCAACGGCCTACCAGTAATAAGCAACAAATGGATATTGGCTGCATGTCAGTGTGTGCCAGGCACTGTTGTATACAGTTCCAATAAATTACCACCAACCCCCATGTAACTGCCAATTACTACTGTCACATACAAATGACACCAAAGTTCATGGTTGTTAAGATTTGTCCTTACATGTCAGTTAAGGGCAGGTGCTGAATCTGAAGCCACATCTTCCTATTCCCAAAGCCTATGGCTCGCTTTCCCTCCACATCACTAATCCCAGAATGGTTGTCAGGAGAAACCTAAATGACACCCTTTTGATGGACTGTTTCTCACTTTGGAATACCACTAAATAATGCTTGCATAAGATAGGACTGACATACTTTTTAACCTTATTTTTTGAGTCTAATTTATGTAATTATTTAGAAAATTACTCTTTAGTATAAAAACCTGGCTAAAGTAATGTGTTAAGCTGTAGTGGGTGGGCATCATGAAAGCTTGTCTTCATAGACCTGTTCAATCCAAATACAAAGCAGAGCTCCATTGGGCTAGAGTGGCATACGGGGTGTCCAGGTGGCCCTGCCTCGTCACTGCACCAGTACTTACCCTTGCAAACCTCCCGTTAGTGTCTGCTGCCAGGGACTTCGCTTACTTCCTGTCAATGAACTCCATAGTGTTCTCTGAGATTGTGCCGCATGCCTACCCTGTGGCTGTAGGGTGAATGAAAAATCCTTTCTGTCATGAGGTGAGGGTCTCCTAGAGCTTCCCCTGCCCACCCCCACCCCCCGCCGTGCCTGCTCTAGGATTTGGTGAGGAAGCCATATGACTGCCACTGTTCACATTTTCTTCTGGTTCTTCTGTAGCGTGATTGGACTCCCAGGAGAAGAAGACTGGCCCAGGGATGTTGCTCTTCCCAGACAGGCTTTCCAATCCAAATCTGCCCAACCCATTGAGAAATTCGTGACAGACATTGACGAACTAGGCAAAGACCTACTTCTGGTAAGTTCCCGGGATGTAGTTGGCCTGTGCCCATTGAAACTGGATGGTAAACATTGTGTACCCCAACCACATGACATAGGAGTCTTTCTGTGGATTTTGTTTCCAGCTGCTTGTTTTTGACTCTGAAAGGTCTTTTCTACTCCAACTCTTAGCACCATGTTTTGCATGCATATTTGGATGCAGCATTAGAAGGCTCTGGATTTGGGGGGCACAGGCTCCTTGACAAGAAAATGTGTTTTCTTGTTTAAAGTTCCATGCTACTTGAAGCAACTTGATAATCATATCTATGCGAATGTTTTTCCCAAAGGAACCAAGTAACAATTCTCCTAGTTATTGCTTTATTTAATAAGCATTTAGTGTGCCATGCACATATAAAATATCCTGCTGAAAATAAGATTCGGGGGCTGGAGAAATGTCTCAGTTCTTAAGAATATGGACAGCTTTTGCCGAGGACTCAGGTTCAATTCCCAGCACCTTGTAACTCCAGCTCCAGTGATGCTCTCTTTTGGCCTCCACGGGGACCTGCGCTGTTGTGCACATCCCCACACAGACTCAGATATACACACACCTAAAATGAAGTATCTTCTTAAAAAACAAAATAAGCACTTTTGTACTATCAAAGTCATTACTGATGTCATGTATACTGTCCTGCCCTTGGGGACATGGAAGGCCCTCCTTTCTGCACTGTTCTCGTCATCAGAGCCCTTGTGAATAAGAAGTCTGAGTTAAGGGCCCTTACTACCTGATTCACACTGTGGATCGAAACCTGCTCTTCTTCTCGTATCTGTCTCATCCTGCCACCCAGCCCAGAGAGGCAGCAGCTACCTGCCATATGTTTGTCTCATGGAAGCAGGTAGCTGCTCCCAGAAGAAACACTGATATCCCTGAAGACCTCAGTCAGCTAATGGTCGAGGGCAACTTGAATAAAGGTAAGGATGTTCCTCACAGCCTACCAGAGAATTCAACTCTTGAATAAGTTATAATTCTAGAAGGTAATTTTTAACTCAATTATTTGGCAATCAAATTAAACCTTTTTGTCTGAAGCAATATTTATTCTTCATGGTGTTTTAGTTCATTCTCATGCTGGTGACTTTGTTCCTAAAGCAGAACAGTTAGAAAAAGTTTAGAAGCCACTTTTCTGGAACTTCCTCCAAGGTCCAATGCACAAGCACATTATTTACCTTGATATGTTTCTGATAAGATGTTTTGTTTATTGCAGAAATGCTTGACGTTTAATCCAGCGAAACGAATATCTGCCTATGGCGCCCTGAATCATCCATACTTCCAAGACCTGGAGAGGTACAAGGACAGCCTGCACTCCCACCTGTCATCCAGCCAGACCCCCTCAGAGCTGAGCACAGCCTGAGGTCTGTGGGGGACACCGTGAGCTGAGCACAGCCTGAGGTCTGTGGGGGACACTGTGAGCTGCTTGTCTAAGCATGTTGGTGGCTGATGAGTCCCCTGAGAAAGCCTTGCAGAGCAGTTGAAGATGGCTGGCTGCGGACCTTCCAGATGCCAGCTTCTGAATGGGCTCTGCTTCACCAAGGAGACCACCTAGTTTACTCTTCCAAAATCAATGCAAGAGCGATTGTGGCTTTATGTTCGCTCACCTGTTTGTTGCCTGTCTATTTGAAGAACCTGGAAAACTTCCAGATGAAGAGAAGCTGCTGACCCATCATGCTGCCATTTCAGTTTCTAACCTTGAGTGCTGCCCACTGTGGGATGATAATCTAAGTCCAGCTGAGTTATGACATCATCTCTGCAGTTTCTGGGCCTGCTTTGGTACGTGTGTGTGTGTGTGTGTGTGTGTGTGTGTGTGTGAGAGAGAGAGAGAGAGAGAGAGAGAGAGAGAGAGAGAGAGAGGCGGGGGGTGGTCCTGATCTTGTAAAGTGTTAACTTTTTGTAGACAACAAGAATAATTGAATTTTAAAGACTAAGGTGAGGGCTTAGTACAATGAAGGTGATTCAGCAGTGTATTTCTCTCCAGGTAGAAAGGTGAGCCTATGACCTCAGTATTTCCTTTCTGTCCAAAAGTTTTTGCTAGCTGTAAACGATAAAGTTTTGGACACCACAAAAACGAGAAAGTAAAAGGGAGGGGAAACCTGGTGTCTCGAAAGAGACTTTTTCTAAGCATGCATTCTTCTGTTTGCTCTTTGGAAAGCTGAATATACTTGTCCTAAATTCTATGTATAGTACAGTACCTAATTCTTTCTCTGGGGAAAGCCCTATAAGCATTTTATTACTTGCAATAGATTTAGGGACTGTACTTCAAATAAGTTTTAAAGATAAAGAAAGCCTATATTTCCTGATTTGAAATGTTATTGTTTCCTTTGCATTTCTTACTATTTTGTTCTTTGTTTTAGAGAGTTGCTCCCTTCTCTGAGTTGGAGATGGTTCTGACTAGAGACAGGAATGCCATGTGGTTCTCTCTACCTACCACCCCCCGTACTTTCCACCGTGCATTTGCCTTGTTCTGATTTGTTTGTAGAGTGCCCACCTTCTCCATCGCCAGCATGTCTAACACATGTTCCTACCATGCCTGGCTGCCCCCTACACCACACCTGTTTGCCTGCCTACTGTCTTTCACTGAATGCTTTGCCACCAGACTTATTTATGGTTTATGGCTCCAATTCTGCAATCCATTAGGGACCCTATTAAGGGTCCTCCTACATTTTCGTGATGTAGTCTTCCCATCTGCTGTCACTGAGGTCACTTGTTCCCTGTGTCACCACCATATAGATTGCTGTCAGGTGTCATTTGGTGTTTTACATTTTTATAGAGTGGATTGTGGATGAAATGTCTAAGGGGATGGGTGTCTTTCCCTCTTTTTAGAGATAATTTTCTACTTTCTAAGGGGGATGAGTGTCTTTCCCCCTTTTAGAGATAACTGTTTACTTTCTGAGGTGACTGCTCTCTCCATCCCCAGGATGGGCTTTATCTGGTGCCTTGTGCTCAGCCCTGCTTTCTGTAGAGCCAGCCTGGCCGGGGCTTCATAGACAACTCTTCCCTGCTGTTCGCTCCCAGTCCTTTATATTCCATGCTACTTTTGCCTTATCCACAGGTTTAGTGCACTAGTAATTAGAAAGCGTAGAAAGCAGCTTTGGGGAAGTTTAGCTGTGTTTTAATCATGTTTGGAGTGCATGTAAATAGAAACTAGATCATGTTTCAACATAGAACTTGGATAGAATGAACAATGTCAGATTTCAGATGGTGTATTCTGAAGCCTTATACTGAGGTGTTGTTTTTTTTTTTTTTGTAGCTGAATAATGCTTGTGATTATCTTGAATAGAAGTGAGTTAGGTGCCCTTCCTATGAGCTTTGGGGGGCTGGGAGTCAGTCTTTTTCCTTTTTACATTCTTCTGATTCACTATCTTTAGAAACAAGATTTTTTTTTCCAAAAGCTAGGCTGTATGAATGTTGTGTGTATCATCATTACAGCCCTGGGACGTGTTGTGAGTGATGTCAAAGCTCAGATGAACTCAGCGCAGCCGACAGGTCTACCCTAAGTCTCAACAAGACAATGGGTTCTGCTTTGCCTTCAGCAAGGTTCAAAATGTAGGCTTTTGCTGGAGCCTAGAAATTGAATATAAAATTCACTTCACCATGGCCTACTCCATTTTGGATTGGCATCCATGTGATAAAGTGAAAATAATTTTGAGGGTTTTTACTTTTGGAAAAAAAAAAATAGTGTCTCCCCCGAATTGCTTTGTTTGAGAAAAATACAGCTGTCTTAAACTGGAATCTTTTTAAGTATTCTGCAGAATTTTTAAGGTATAGTGTTCAACTTCATTTTTGTCATCTGTTTGGGGCTTATTTCTAAGTAGGTTTTGGAGGGGTTGTTGTTTTGGGGGGGTTGTTTTTGTTTTGTTTTGTTTGTTTTTTGAGACAGGGTTTCTCTGTGTAACAGTCCTGGCTGTTCTGGAACTAGCTCTTCTAGACCAGCCTGCCCTCAAACTCACAGAGATCCTCCTGCCTCTGCCTCCTGAGTGCTGGCACTGAAGGTGTGCCACCACCGACCTGCTTTAAGTAGTATTTTAAGTCACAAATATTTTGGTTTTAGAAACTTGGCATATTGTGCTAGAATGATCCAGAAAGGACATCCCTGCCTCTCTGGACCTCATCTCTATCCCAGCTCTTCATTCGTGCAGTTCTCTGGGTTTCAGGAACCTTACCATCTAGGCCCTTAGTAGTACGTGGAAGCATAAAGGCTCAGTGAGTAGGACTCTGTGGCCTATGGATTCACACACCTTTGTTACTAAAGAAGACCTTCTGCCTCAGGGTCTGCTGAAACAGCTTTTAGTAATGAGAAACAGGTTTGAAATTACTGTAGAAATAGTGGAAGAATGTGCCTAATCGCTTCTCTTCAGGGTTTGGTCCCGGGCCCTGGCATTGCAAGACTGTCTGGAGTTGTAGCATCCTCTTCAGAAACAAGAGGGGAGATTTTCCAAGTAGTCCCCATAAGCTCCCAAGCTATCTTATGGTGAGGAGTCTTGACCGTCCCGCCACCCTTAGAAACACAGTCTGTGAGCACCCAGCGGGCTGCAGCATCCCACTTTGTTCCTCTTTGAAGAAGACGTGCACTCAAGCAACAGAGAAACTGTTTAATTAGCTTGGGACCGTTCCTGTCCCCAGCTTCTCATGATTTCCTCTCAGAACCACTCACTTAACAGTAGGCTTGAATTTAGTCTCAAGTGATTTACTTCAAACAGCCCAGAAGTTCCTCACTTAAAAACCGATTTTCCACGTGGTCATTTTTAGTGAAAATAAAAAGTCTAGGATACATTCTGGGTGCTGCCATAAACTACTTCTCTGTCTTTAAATAGAAAGGTGTGCAGATTCTGGGTGTTGCTGTATCAGACACAGTACTTCTCTTTCAATAGAAAGATGTGCAGATGGCTCAGCAATGGGTCATCAGTCAACTAGTTTTAGAAAGTCAGTAGTACCAAACATTTTGAACTTTAAAGTATGTCCTGAAATTGTTTTTTTAAGACTTTTATTTCTGTGTATATGCCACTGTGTGAGTGTGCCAAGCGTGTTGCAGGTGCCCTAGAGTCCAGAAGAGAGTGTTGGATCCCCTGGAGTTGGAGTTATAGGCAGTTGTAACCTAGCTGATGTGGGTGCTGGCAACTGAACTCTGGTCTTCAGCAAAATCAGGAAAGAGCAGGACTCGATTTTAACCTCTGCAACTCCCAAGCGATTATTTTTTAAGTGACCATAGCTGCTTCTATTAAAAGCTATGCCTATTAAAGGCAGTTACAGCCATTCTCATTAGGGGAGTTAAATCATGTAAATGTTCTAACATCATAGTTAGAACCACATGAGTGTGTGCGCGCGCATACACGCACACACACACACACACACACACACACACGTTTCCTGTGTAGCCAGGTTAGCCTCGAACTCAAGTAGATCTGCCTGCCCCTTTCTCTTGATTCCTGAGATTAGTGACATGCACCGCCACACCCAGCTTTCTGTTTTTATGAGCACATTTTCTGAAAACACACTTTTGTTGCACAGCTGAATTCAGTAAAGAATAGCACTAAGTCCCTATAATAGTTAGCACATATTGATAGCCTACAGAAGAATGCATGTTTTACATTGTAGCATAAAAATAAAGATACTGTATGACTTCTGAATCTTTAAAAATTACAGAATAGTGGGAACCAGCGCAGCATATTCAAAGGGTATTTTCAAATTTACAGACATTTTTAAATAATACATGTTTGCCTTTAAGTATATTCTAAAAAAAATTTTAGGTCATCCAGCACTTACAGACTTGGTATGTCAACAAAACACATTTTGTGGAGACACACAGAATGATTGGTATTCCTTCCTCGTTTTATAGGAAGAAAGTAGCCATCTGAAGCTATACTCACAATATATATACATGCCTAAGAACAGGCACTATAAAAAATGAAAATTTAAATGACATTTACCTCCTCTTCAAGTGAGAATGGACAACTTATAAGCCTTATCCAAAATTCCTACTTTGTTTTGGGGGTAAGTCTTGTGATACAAGTCAGGCAGACCTGCTACCTACAGCCGCCTGCCTCTTCCAAGCACTGGGATTGCACATCTCAATCATATCTAATTTGGTTTGGCTTATTGTTTTGTTGTTTTTTAAGTAAATAAGCCCAAGCCATTCTTTTGCCCTACTGTCTCCCGAAAGAGAGGGGTTTAAAATTTTTTGTTTGTTTGTTAGTTTTGTTTTTATTCAAGACCAGATTTGTGTAGCCCTGGCTGTCCTGGAACTATCTTTGTGGTTCTAAGCCTTTAACTCACAGAGATTCACCTGTTTCTGCCTCTCTAGGGCTGAGATTAAAGGCATGCGCTGCCGCCCAGATTCAGTTTTTAACTGTTTCTCTCAATTTGCTTTTTTAAATTTTTCTAATGAAGTACTGAATTGCCTTTTTCAGATATTTTTCCCAGGATTTTCAACAAGGTAAATCTAACTCACTGCTAGAATAGCCACGCCTCTGTGGCCCCCGAGAAAACAGCCACCTGAGAATAAATTGCTTTTCCTCAAAAGTTTAGAAATACTATTACAACAATTCAAAATGAAAATGGTGAGAATGAAAGGTAATTTAGAGTTGGTTTGGTTTTGTGGCAGAAGTCTATTAAAATTCACAGTCCCCTAAGATTTATGTGGGGTTTGTTGTTGCTATGTCAGATGACGTTCCACAAGGTGGCACTCTCAGAGAAAAAATTTGACCAAGGCTAAAGAGCCGCTCTAAAAATATCACTCCAAACTGTTTTCCCACACATCTTTAACTTTCATCTCACATGTTTCTTCAAATAATTAACAGTCTTCATAATATTCTGCAGCTTATACATTTTGCTTTTTAGCTAGTTTCTGAGTAACTAAATTATGCTTGAGAATGACATTTTTAAGAGATGAAGGAATGCCTTTATGGTTACTTAGGGGATGTTTTTGAAGCACCCAAATTACCTGTCTAGGGTGTCCAGCTGCTTCACAGATGAAGCCAACCCTCATCTGTAAATAAAAGGCTCCTTTAGGGCCCCAGTCAGGACTCCACTCCTCCACCTCCGCGGCCCTTTGACAGTGATCGTTTCTAAATTCAAGTGAACAAGATAAGCAGTATGTCGATAATTGAGTCCACAAAACTTTTCCTAGAGAACTGCAGTGCCGAACCGGCTCTAATCTAAGGATGACAAAAGAACTGCCAGTTTACGCTCTGGTAGGAACCATAATTATAAATTCTGTGTTTGGATATACGTGAACATAGCAACTCAGGAAGACTTTGGGTTTTCCACTATCAAAGTCAGTTTTATACTACATTTTGAATTAACATTTCTGCTCAAAGACCCATCCCCCTTGAACCAAACATGACTCCGTACAGAGTGCGTGAACAGATAGGGTATTTCGGTTTCTTTGGCACACCATGACTGGAAGCAATTTATTCCTTCTGAGTGTTACACACGCATACACATACACCACCTGTTTGACTTCACTCCAGAGTGGCAGACAGACAAGCCTCAGTTCTTTAAACTGAATCAAAATGCTCCGCCAAGCAAGCACTGCCCAGGCCCTGATAAAAGTTTGACTCTCTTCACCTGTCTGCTTTCTGCAATCATTCTGACGCTCCTGAAGCCCACAAGGAACAGTGATGAAGCAGCCGAGCCAGACCCAGAAGATGTTCCATGGGGGAGGGGCAGTGCTCTGCTGCCTTCTGTTGTACCATCTTAGGAAACAAGGTGCCCTAGAAACATATGGCTGGCCTCTGGACATCAGTAATGACAACCGAGTTTACTCACTAGCTCAGGAGTAAAGATGCCGAGGATGCTGCACTGCAAGCCCTGGACCAGGCGCCTCACACTCAGAGTTTGTCTTTTTGGTTTGTTTTAGATGTATAATTACAGAGGAAATGTTTATTTTTCTGTTTTCTTTCCTGCTACACACATGGTGGCAAAAAGTTATTCCTGGAAATATTTCATCTTGAAAAATTGCTTTCTACTTCATTTGACGAAAGTGTATAATTGTTGAGTTCCCAATTTCTTTTCTTCTTCAGTGAGCAGATTATCCCTTGAACAGAGGGATAATCTGACTAGATTATTATAGATTATTATTATAGATTATTATAGATAATCTTCCTCTTTAGAGGAAGCTTTGTGTGAAGTGTTGAGTCTCACAAATAATACCTTTAGACTGTCAGATGTGTGTGGGGGTCTCTTTTGTTTTGTTTTCAGAGGACAGCCACACCTACATCTAGCCGGAATTGAACACAGAGTTCTGTAACTCCTAACTCAGGTAGGGTTTAGTAACATGCTGTTGATGAGCTAAGGCTAAGGGGCCCTCTACCCATACTTGATGTTTTTAGTCTTCAGTTCTATAAAATGCAGCAATGTGTATTAGTCAGCAATATTTCTTTGGCACCAGCACATCTGAGTTTGACCTTAAGTCTCTGAATAACTAAAGTAGATCCCATTGTTTCTTGACATACCCCATCCCTGCCAAATCATGTATCTTCTTACTCTGGTCCTGTTTGTAGCAGTATATTCATGTGTATTTCAGCTCTTGTCTTCATTATTTTCCTATGAACAGTAATAGATGTATTAGTACACAGAATTAATAGTGTACTAGGAACAGCACTTAGCAGATGGGGAATTTTTTTTATCAAGTTCCAAATTTACATAAGTTATTTCTATTATTATTCATGCATATTATTTATTGCTAAACCACACAAGTCCTGTGAAAGCACAGCTAGCGGCAGATGCTGACG